TTGGTGATCATGTTGAGGGGTGAATGCAACTGAAGGGACTCTACTATAGGTATTCTTTAATCATTGCTTTTGATTGAGAAGCTTTTGATGGAGAAATCAAATGAAACATTAGAGCTACAGATGAATAGGAGTCAGTGTATTTGTAAAAAATCAGAAGCATGCCAGTATTTATAATACCTGTAAAAAATTAATTTTCTAAAGGCTTTAGTGTGCTCACAAAAGTAACTTGGATGTGAGGAGGAAAATGTAGCAGACTATTAATGAACCTGGAATCAGGTAACCTAGGAAGGGCATAACCTTTTCTACATAACCGGGATGGGAATGGTTCTTCTTTCTCACAGAATTTTCTCCACTGTGCCCTAACTCCAGTAATATAAATACTGCCTTTGATATCAGTTACAATGGGGTTAAATTGTATTCGTTTTGTATGTTATCTATGATGTGCAAGCCTTTTGCATTTGTAATAGACACAGAAGCCAGCAAGCAAATGGCAATCTCCATGAGAGTACACCTACCACTGCATCCACGGCACAACAGGGCATGGTGTGAAGGGTTACTCACTCACTGCTGTTAAATGAACATACTTCTCTAAGTGAGCTTTTTAGTTTTATAGAAATATTTTAAACCCTACTTCAAGTCTTTCATTCATTTGTTCATCCACCCAACTATTAGTTCATTCATCCATCCATTCAATTATTCCAGAAACATATATTGAGAACTTGCTGTGGACTAGACACTGTTATAAGTTCTGAGCAATAACATCGTTGAGTACAAATACAAAATCGTGGCTCTCAAGAAGCTTATTCTCCTTTTCCTCATCATTATTGTGACTGTCACCATTTTTAGTCTTAACATGCTGATATAATTGCAGATTCACTGTAGCACATTGCTTAAGAACACAGGCCTGGGAGTCACATAAGTTCAGAAGGCCCACTTAGTAGCTGTGCAACCACGAACAAGTTAACTGACCTCTCTAAGCCTTAATTCCTTATCTATAAGAAGAGATAATTACACATCTGTCCTGAGTTGTGAAAAACTAATAATTAAATGAGAAGCCTTAACACAGTATTTGGTCCATAGTAAAACATAAAGATTCAGTACATATTGGTTTTATCATTCTCCTCCTCCTTATTATCTTTCTCCTCTTCATCACCATCCCCACATTCACTGGCTTTCCTATTGTCCTTTCAAATTGTTGCTGTGCTACTTGGTTATCTAGAGTAATTTTAAGGAGGAAAGTGAACAGGAAATACAAGCTTTAGAATCATAGCAAACGGTAAAGAAATAAGACCACCTTTGTAAATCCAGGCTTTAATGCCTATTTTACTTTCTAAAAGCTATTTTGCTGTCCCTGGAGGAACAGACAGTTCTGCATCTACAGCCTTGGATTAATACTCCATTTCACTTTTCACAGGCACATTTAAAATATAGTCATCAGTGTTCTTGTGAGGTATGGTGGTGCTTAATATTGAGGTACAAGTGGTACAAGACATAGGAGTAAGAGCTAGGAAATCTGAGTTAAAATCCAAGGTTTGCCTTTTGAATTACTTGTGCCTTATATCTAGTTGCAGCTATTACCAAAATCCTTTTCTTTAAATTGTCTTTATGTGTATAATTGACCTACAATGACACGTTAATTTTCAGGTGTACAATATAATAACTCAACTTCTCTATACATCATTCTGTGCTCACCAGAAGTCTAAGTGCCATCTGTCACCATACAACACTGTTACAGTATCATTAACTATATTCCTTATGCTGTGCCTTTTATTCCCATGACTTACTCATTCCCTAACTGGGAGCTTTTACCTCCCACTCACCTTCACCTATTTTGCCCATCACTCCACTCACCTCCCTTCTGGAGGTTCCTCAAGAAATTAAAATAAATAACCATATGATCCAGTAATTCTATTGCTGGGTATTTACCCAAGGAAAATTAAAACATTATTTCCAAAAGATATATGTACCTCTATGTTTACCGTAGCACTGTTTACAATAGCTGAGATTTAGAAGCAACCTAAGTGTCCATTGATAAATGAATGGATAAGGAAGATGTGGTACAAAAAGATGTGGTACAAAAACTTATTTTCTTTGGGGCGCCTGGGTGGCTCAGTGGGCTAAAGCCTCTGCCTTTGGCTCGGGTCATGATCCCAGAGTCCTGGGATTGAGCCCCGCATCGGGCTCTCTGCTCAGCGGGGAGCCTGCTTCCTCCTCTCTCTCTCTCTCTCTCTCTGCCTGCCTCTCTGCCTACTTGTGATCTCTGTCAAGTAAATAAACAAAAATCTTTAAAAAAAAAAACAAACAACTTATTTTCTTCAAAGTTCAAATAATACTTAGTTGACAAATACAACATGTCAATAAAATAGAGTCAAGGAATAGGCAAGAAAACCTCCATTTGCCTGAATTGACTGACTCTACAGAGAACACGGAAGTGGCACAATCAAAACTTTTTCCTATTGTCTACACCTCTCTTCCCAAATGCAATTTATTTTTTCCAAACAATAATAACTGTACAATGGGATAAGTACAGAGTAGCATATTATTACTTGCTCCTGAATGATTACTTAAAACAATCATGACTTCACTGGCTATTTCATGAATTGTCAAACTTTTTAAGAATTTTAACTTTTTAATTCTTTTGAGAACTCATCAAAAACTTTATTACAATTCAACTTTATATACTTGTGGTTTTTCTTCTGTATTGTTAGTGTGTATTCATAAGTGGCACGTTATGTTTGGACAGAGAACGTCAGAATGGTATCATAAGCAGAACTGGCCTTCGGGTAAGACTCTTGATTGCTACTGTTTTTCCAAATCTCTAAGGAAGTGTAGTGTGGTCATTAGAGCTCACAGACCTAAGTGACATTGTTGCACATTACTTTTAAAAGCCCCTTTTACCTCAGGATTCAATGGACATTATTTTACCTGCTTCATAGTTTTGTTGTATTCAGTGAAATAATAAATATCTTATCTTTAGCTTGGTGAACTACCAGTGCTTAGTTTTCTCATCTGTAAAATGAAACCACTAGATTATTGATTGTAAGCACTAACACTTAACATCTTATGAGCTATTTCATTCCTCCTTATCATCTCCCTGTTTTCATGAGTGTTGATTTCATCTGTGTTGGCCCCAAGGGTTGTAATGGGCTCTCGAGTTTTTCTTCAAGGAACTTCAAACCTTTATTATTTGGTAATTAAATAGCTAGGTTTTAGGCTTATTTTCACCCTTCTCCTTAAACCAGGCATGGGGAATGATTGATGGCTAACTTAAATGAAAGATGACTTCTCAGCATTTTATTTCTCTTTCTTTGGCTTTTGGTTGCCTGGGCCTATCAGGAAGCTACCAACGTTCAGTCTTCCTGAGAATTTAGCATTTACCCAAACTCAGTTTTCCAGTGAAATGAAATGAATGTCTTTGAGAGGAAACTTGAGAGTAAATAGTCATGGCATCACTGGATTGCTAGTGGTCTTTGTATAAGAGGAACCCTCTTACACTGTTGGTGTAACACAAGTTGGGACAGCCACTTTGGAAAACAGTATGAAGGTTCCTCAAGACGTTAAAAATAGAGCTACCCTATGACCCAGCAATTGCACTACTAGGGATTTACCCCAATGATACAGAGGTAGTGGACAGCAGGGCCAAATGCACCCCAATGTTCATAGCAGCAATGTCCACAATAGCCAAATTTTGGAAGGAGCAGAGATGCCCTTCAACAGAGGAATGGATAAAGAAGTTGTGGTCCATATATATGCTGGAATATTACTCGGCTGTCAGAAAGGATGAATACCCAACTTTTGCATTGATATGGATGGAACTGGAGGGGATTATGCTAAGTGAACTAAATCAAGCAGAGAAAGACAATTATCCTATGGTTTCATTTATATGTGGAACATATGGAATAGCATGGAGGACATTAGGACAAGGAAAGGAAAAATGAAGTGAGGGAAATCAGAGTGGGAGATGAACCATAAGAGACTATGGACTCTAGGAAACACCCTGAGGGTTTCAGAGGGGAAGAGAGTGGGGGAATGAGTTGGCCCAGTGATAGGTATTAAGGAGGGCATGTATAGCTATGAACACTGGTGTTATACACAAACAATGAATCATGGAACACTACACCAAAAATGAATGAAGTACTATATAGTGACTAACATAATAATAATAAAAAGTAGATGTTAGAATATATACAGATAAGAAAAAAGTTTCACTCATGGTTCTGAAATGCTTAACCTCTACCATGTGCATTAATTCATAAGAAAAAAAAAAAACACCCTGCCTTTTCCAGTATAGAATAGGCTTGGGAAATTTCACTAGAAAGTGAGATACCACAAAGATCTTCCAACTAAAAAGTGCTTTGGAAATGCATTTGTTTTTGTTTACTTTTGGCTTTCCAATGAAGCAGGAATAAAAAAATAACAAGGCACTAGGTATTATGTAAATAGGTCCCTTAGCTAGAATGATCGGAGAAAAAAGTGAGCTTGAATAACATTAGAGCCAAATTATCCTTGAAATCTATGTCACTATGAAAAATGCATGTAGCTCCAAAGTCACCAAATCAACAAATTTGCAAAACTATATAAATATGTGTATTTATGTTATAGAAGATGATAATTTAAAATGAGTTTTGCTCTAAATTTCCAAACACATCCTATACGTCAGAGAAAAATACCTAGAATTAGTACAAGGAGACTTACAAATACTTGAGGTCTTAAGTGGCCAGCCTAGGGCTGTGAAGTACAGTGTGGGAGGAATTTATTATAGGCATGTCTTTTCTATACAGGCATTGGCAGAGCAGGTTTTCATGGCTTCCTGCCTTCACTTGTGTTTAGCCCACAGGAAAGTTGATAAATATCACCAGTTAATGACATATACAACAAATAGGGGCCCTCTTGTTCGTATTTCCACTTCAGCAAATGGAGACATGAAGAGGAATGAAGTGGCTTCATGAGACCTATGGTAATTTTAAGTGGGAGTCACCCGCTGACCAAAAGTAAGAGCTTCATGTGTAAACAGCTGGACAAAATTTGAAATAAACCTGAAAAACAATCACCAATAAGTTAAATTTGGAATTTGGAAGTCAAGGTTAGTGAAACTATAGGCCAGTCATTCCCAACCAGGAGCAAGTTTATTCCCAGAGGTACTTTTGGTAGTCTGAACTGGTGGGGTTGGGGAGGGGGGAAGGCAAGGGGTATGACTTACATCTTGCAGGTAGATACCAAAGATACCGCTAAATAGCTGAAAATGCGCAGAAGGCCCAATTTCCATTAAAATAATTATCCAACTTAAAATGTCAAAAGTGCCACTACTGTAAACCTTGCTATAGGACCATGTGGTATGGACAGTGGTGGGATGGTGGTATATGAAAAGAAGGAACTGTGTTTACTAGTTATATACTGTACCTTTCTTTGGATTTATTGATATAAAACATCTTTAAAAAGTGAGAACGGTCACTCATAATCAACTAGTCGACAGTTACAGTCATATGTCCAAGAGAGGATTTTTACTGGTAAGAGCAGAAGAATCAATTATTTGAATTATAGTTGGTACACATTATGTAGAGTTTCTAACATTGTTACAGTGAGTTATTTTGTCTACTACTACTTCATGTCCCCAAATACCCACTCAGTAATGTCAGAGTAGAGATATTTATTTGGGGTATTTTCTTCCCTAAATTTCTCTTTGGCATTCCCCACAAACCTTTCCAAGTCTTTTGATTTATCTTTATTAAATTGCACTAGGGGAAATGCTTATTTTCATCTTATGCTACTCAGAATTTATTTACTATTTATCTTTTCTCTCTTTTGTCGCTTAATATATATCTTTTAATTTCTAATGCCCTAGTAAAACTGGCTAAAATTTCTATAAATATTTCATTCTCAGTAAGTTAAAATGTTTATTAGGTAGTTGATGTGAAGAAGCTGCTGCTTTGGTAGTTGCTAACAGAAATCTATAGAGAATTCATAGTAAATGAATGTAGGAAGACCTGGGTTTACTCTTTCAAAATAAATGTAAACATAGAGTGAAAGTAGCATAGGAACGAGTCATGGAAATGAGTTTGGGGTAGAAAGGGATTTAGATCTAGAGAAGTTAACGCTTCCAAGCAGTAGAGGCACTTAAAGATGAGTAAGAGCTGCAGAGAGTTAATAAGACATGGAATATATTTCTCATTCTCCTTCTTCCTCTTACCAACTTGAAGTGGGGAGACTGGGAAAACAAGCAACCAGGGCTCAGAAACCATAACCTAAACACACAAGAGTCACTGAGAGAACCACCTGGTGCCCAGTCCAGCCTGGGACTCAAAGAACACTTTGTGAATTGTGAGACAAAATCAATATGAAAGGTAAATTACAGAAGAGTTCCAGTTAAGCTTGTGTTAGATGAAGTACTTACTGAAAGAATTAAGGATTAGTTATAAAGATAAATTATAATAAACTTGCTTTACATTAACTTAAAAGGTGATGCTTTCTTTCAAGCTCCTTTTTTAGGGAGTGGAAGGGTCTGGGGAAAGCTTGCAGAAAAGAAGGCCAAAAATGCAGAAGATAAAAGGGGTTGGGTTAATTTGTATTGCATGTAGTAATATGTTCTAGGCATTGCACTACATATTTTTTCCAGTTATTTAACAAGTGTTTTTCAGCCCCAAACCTACCCTTCCATCTGCTTTGTGATGCAGGGGACAGGAGCATTGGAGGAAAAGCTCCAGAATGGCAAAGGATGACCCTGATTCTTCCCATTTTTCTTGCTCTTCCTGGCAGCATGATTTGAGCCATAGACAATTTGTTCTTGTTTCCTTTTTTCCTCTGTGTCCCCAAACTGCCTTATTGTGCCCTGTCAGAGGTCCCAGCAGCAGTAGGGCAGCGCCTTCCTGACAGAGGGCTGGATCCCACCTTATGCAACTTGTCTCCACTGCTTCTAGATTCTAATAATCCATCCCTCTTTCTTTCTGATGCCCTGGCCATGGAGGTGATACCAATTTCTTGCACTTGGTATTGTTTCTATGTTTCCTTTTCATTTTCTCAATTCTCTAACACCTTTAAAGTAATTCCTTACATTAAACTCTCTCTTAAAATGACTGACACATTCCTGTTTTCCTGATTAGCTTCTGACTGGTGCCACTCTTTACACAAATGGTACCCATTTTATAAGTGAGTAAAATGAAGCTGCAGTAGTTTCAGTGACATACCCAATGTTCCGTGGGTACCAGGGAGCATAGTTAGAATGTGAACCCAGATCTAAAAGCCCCAGCCTTTTCTAATAGTCCAGGTATAGGAGGAAGACCAAGAGAGATGTGTGTTGTCAAGACTGTAAGAATTTTAAAGATTAAGAATAAAGAATTTTATAAAATAATTTAAGAATAAAGATATAAACATTCTGACTAATCATCTCTTTCTCCTTATGTATGTGTGTATACATACATTGTTTTTTCTTTGCTCCCTTAGAAATCTCTACTACTATGATAGAAAAAGAATTACTTTTTTAAAGGCATGAATCCATAAGGAGAAAATAGGATAGTACATTGGAAATACTAAGGAAAATGTGGAAGTTGGAAAGCAGGTGAACAAGTGGGAACAGACTACGCAGAACAGAAAATGAATAAATAAACCTAAGTCTGCCCCAGAACACCAGAATATTACAGAAACTGGAAGCACCAAGCTTGTATGAAAGTGGTTCTGAAACAGCAGAATTTGCTGACATTCTTGTAAGTCTTGAGATGTCCAGAGACCCTTCCCCGCAACTCACAGCCCAGTGGTTCCCTCTTTCACAACCTGTCAGAAAGGTTATGACTTACAAGGGCAGTCTGGTAAGGCTGCTATCGCTGCGGGACTTAAGGAGAAAGGAGTTTGAACGGAAGGATGGTAGAAAATGGAGACATCTGTGGGTAGGAGTGAGTAATAAGGAGCTCCTTCAAGGGAGAGAGTAAATAGCTGACAAAGCAAGATTTTCAAAGTGATGAAACTCAGGGAAAGGGGACCGGCTGGCCTTCCGTAGGAGAGATTTCTTTTCATATACAAAGAAAGCACAGATTAATGAAGGTATCTGGAAAGGTACACTGGAAGATATTATTTCTGAGAACTAGATCTCTGTAAAAGGAAACAAGGATGACACAAAATATTTGGGAAGAGCCACATAGATTTGAAACAGCCTTATAGAGAATCATCATAAAAAGACCCTTCCTCGAACCTCTCATTTTTCTATTACATATTATTGTTATCTTAAAGAATGATACTGTATATTCACATAATATGGGTCACAAATTCAACCCCAAATTATGTGATTTTTTTAAAAAAATTAATTGCCAGTATTTTAAAATTTAACAGCTTTTATTTTAAAAAAACAATCCTATTTAAGAGCTCCTTCTTGGAAGATTGTATGATGCTATAATCCTGGACATACCTTGATGAGTATAGCCAAGTGCTGGGAACTTTTTTTAGATGGGGAAGGTATTCCATAGCTCATTTTGCTGAGTTCTGTTACCTTCCTAACCTGGTAGTCATTTGAGTTTAACATCCCTAATAAAGTAACTGTCTCTTGAGTATCAAGAAATAGAGATGTGGTTATTATCTGTGATTTTCAGAAAGAGGTGTAAGCCATCATGGGAACCCCAACCCAACCTATAGATTGAGAGTTTCAGAGGAAGTGAAGTGCCTTTTAAAAATCACTTGTAATTGGCTGACTCCCTCTGGTAAGTGTTCCTATTACTTTCTAGGACCACCCAGATCCACCCTCATAAACTCATCTGGCAAGGTAAAACCACTGTCTCTCAGCGGTCTCCTTTGGTATCCACCAAAGACCAAATCATCCTGAGATGAATGGCCTGCTTAGATTTATTTATCTACTGTACTTCACTGAATTCAAGTTTCTGACGTAGAGTTGGATGCGGCATTGACTATGAAATACAAATCCAACCAGGAGCCTTACTTCTTTTATTTGTAATAATAGTTAACACAGGAGTCTCCGTTGGTGCTCATTCTATTTTCAAGGAATAATTCTTAAATGTGACTCATTAATAATTTACAATCCATTTCCATCTAATGGTCCACTGAAAATCAATACTCTGAGAAACATTAAAGATGCTGTATGATCAAAAGAAAAAAGTCAATTAGGAAGAGCTCTAGATATACTCTTGAAAATGTTTAACTAGTAAAATCGCTTCACTCAAATGTGATTAAGAGCTGCTAATTTAGGATGAAGATAAAACTATTAAAGAGTCTGCACCAGGATAACAACTCTGAAGAAATGGCTTCTAGTTAATTAGAAGAAGTTTTTCCTAACATCTAGCTATCTTGCTCTCTTTCATGCAATTTCTGGCATATGGACTTCAATTTGGGGGTTATGTTATTTCTAATGAAATTACTTCAGTCCTAGGAGGAAGCTCATAGGGTTTGGTTTGCTTGTGTAGTTTCTCTTCTCTTCTCTTCATAATTTCTCTGAAGTGATTTTTTTCCTTTAACTCTTTGTCTTTACGTTCTTGGGCCTCACATATTGCATCTTCTTTCTGTCGAATCTTCAGCTCTTTCTGCCACTGTCACAGAGAGAAAGTGTCATTGACATATGATTTTCCATGAAAAAAGAATATATCAATTTATCTTTTCAAAATGCAGATTCCATAAGCAATTATCTTCTCAGTTTTTCTCACAGATATTCTTGAGGAATTTAAACCCAAAAATAACGGGAAAAATATACAAGCCCTCTATTAGAAATTATGTAAGTCTCACTCCCTACCCCACAAAACAAAAGAAACCGGATTCACTCTTAAAGTTTTTAATAATAATAAACCATTAAAAAGAAGAGACAATAGGGTTTACATTTTAATATTACAAAGGAATTTCACTTCTTAATCAATATTGGTATTTACATGATAGCATGGAATCCTAAAATGAAAAATCAAGCCAAAGCAAAACAAAAAGAAAAAACAAATTAAGGTGAAAGGCAAAATTGTGATTACATATGGGATAGAAAATGAAATTGATGGGCAGACAAATGCTGATTCTGCAACAGACAAATACAAAGACTTCTAAGGGATTCATCTCCATGAAACATGTTAATTATTGACAATAACAGCATTATGTGGAGGCAAAAGTTGTAGGATTCAGTAGTTGGAAATAAGGACTGCAAACCAACCAAACATCATCATCATGAGGACCCTACTTCCCTTCTACTATCTTTAATGAAGGAAGTGGTGAAAGAGGTGGTAATCTGTCTTCAAGCTGGGTAAAAAAGTTCAGGACAGAATGACCCTTAGCATGAAATGTTGGAAATTGCAAAAGATACTTCATACCCTTGCTTATTTATTTTGTTACCCTCAGCCCATCCATACTCACAGACAACCAGACTATGCTTAATGACCTATCAGTTAACTTACAAATTACTATATACTAGTGCTGGATTATAACTATTATTTCGGGTGTATAGATACTAATAAGCAGGACTAAGCCACAGAATTTACAACAAATCTCTCAGCCTTCCAAAGGCAGTAAGGTTTTTTTTAAACATACTCAGAATAAATATTAAACAAAAAGTTTAATAAAATCACATTCACTTTTCTTATTCCCAGTTAAATTTTAAATACAAAGTTACCTTGATAACTATGTAGCCATCTGTGACATAATTTTTGTCATAAAACTGAATACTACTACTGTTTGACAAAACTACTGATCTTACGTTGTAGCATAAAAGTGGTGGTTGGTGTAATAATGACAGTATCTATAAACAAAAACAACTAAACTACCTTATATGAGAGATTTCAGTGTACTTCATGACCTTGATCTTTACATTGTGAAAAATCAACAGAAGGCTAATTCTTAAGAATTTAAACACATTCTATATGCTATTTAGTCCATACTGTATTATAAGAAAAACAGAAAATACTTTTTCTCCTATTCCAACTCTACTCCTAAAAAGAAGCAGTTATAAAATGATTTCCTAAGAAATCATCATCTAAATATAGCCCAGTGAATTAAAGTGTCATAAGTGAATAATCTTCTATGGTCACTGCTTGTTTAAGTCATATCAAGAATAAAGTGATTAAAGCCCATCTTATATTTCAAGGGTAAAGAATGGTCATCAAAAATTGAGTCAAAAGATTTTTGTTCTGTTACAAAAACTACACTGTTTAAAAGACATCAGTGTTCAATATCAGATCTTTGTCCCAGGAAATCAGTACTAATTCAGGAAACAGGATGGAGCTAGTATTTCACAAATGACAGAAAGCCAAATTTGCTGTAACCCAATAAAGGCAGTACAGTATATAGATAGCACAGTAAGATATAATTAAGTTTGGCAAAGCCCAATCATGGCCTTATTTTTAAGTTCCACGTGTTAATGTCTCAGTCTCAGAACTATACTTTCTAATTCAAAGTTCCTTTAAAGAACAAAGCTTTTGTTGCTAATTTAAGGAATTCAGTCTTACATGATGGTCAATGATTCTTGCCAACTCTTCATCAGCCCTGGTGAAGAAATCCGGGTAAGAAAACAGGGGAAGTTCTGATACAAAAGGATGTTCCCTTCAAAAGAGCACAAGAAGAAATCCAATATTAGGTATAGATACTCCTTCTCCAAGAAAAGTATGGATTTGGAGGTCATTTCATACTAAGCATTTTGATTCTACCTTGTTAACATTAAGTACTTCAGTTATTCTGTTCTCTGTAGAAAATTATATATAGCTTTTAGTTTCTATAAGCCATTTTGGGATACCTAAACTGACATTTTGAAGGGTAGGGAATACATATATATAGTATGAGAACTAGAAAATAATAAAAAAAGTAATTTTCTTCTAGGAGGTATAAATACTACAGCTGTTCAATAACAGGAGATGTTAGGATATGAAGGGTTAAAGGAAGCCTGAAATAATTTGACTCATGGGGAGATGAAAGTAACCATAGTCACACACAACTTTATGACTGTGGAAGTTCTGGTGAATTTGATCCAAGATATACTTTAAAAAAAAAAAAAGTTTGATTTCAGTACTTCCCCAAGGTCTTTTCAGTGCTACGGGTGAAACTACGGCAGACAGTTTAGCAACAGTTCAATAGGAGTGTTGGCAGTACAAATCTAGGCCCTAAAGTAGTGGAGATTTACTGCTAAACTGTCCACTTAATAGGTATATTATGTTAAAGTTATTATGAAGAAATAATTGTGGTCTAGAAATATGTAAAGCAACAAAATGATGGTAGAAAATGTGGTTTTAAAGTAAGTAGGTGTAAAGGAAAAACTCTTAGGCAAGAGGCTAAGAAGAGACATAGCTCATGAAAATTTCCCATATTCAAAAGTCTGATTACTTTTTAAGACTGCAGTGTTGGACACATATTTTTTTTTTCAATTTGCTGCCTATACCATTTTTAGCAAACTTTATATATTTGACATCCTATGCTTCCCACATATCACTAGGTTCTCTTGCATTATACTTCTCAAATCTTACCATTTATCTTCATCTCTACCATCATTTCCCTACTCTAAGCCATCATCTTTCACCTGGACCAATACTTCCTTTTAGGAATCCCTAACATCCATTATGCCTCACCCTTTTAGTTCTTGTCTGTATATAGTAGCCAGAGGTTTTGTTGGTGGTGTTGTTTTTCAAAATACGAATGGTATCATGTCAATCCCCTACTTTGAACTGTTCACTAACTCTCAATTAACTTTAGAATTAAGATCCCATTTGTTGTTAAAGAAGCCTGAAGTAGACTGTGCCATTGGTAAAGTGACTTTGTTTGTTTTCTCCAGACTCACTCCTCTCTTTTCTTGGCCTAGGTTTGTGCATCCCTAGCAATGGGCTTTTTTATAGTTGCTGCAGTGTGCCTTGCTTCACCCTGCTATTGTTCGTTTGCATGTGCTGTCATCCTTTCTTCAGTGCCCATATCCCCCAACTCTCTCTGCCACAGGTCTGGCTAATGCGTACTTACCCTTCTGCTCTCTGTTCAGGCCACTACCGTAGTTCTCAATCTACCATGGGCCTTTCCTTCATCACACTTACCTCAGTTGTAATTTTATATTCATATGTGCATCTGTGGGAGTTCTGTTTTTCTTACTTGCGTATGAGCTACATGAATGTGGGAACTTTCATTTGTTTGGTTATCATTGGTATTCCCAGTGCCCAGCACAGTGCTACTAAACACTCAATGAATGTTTGTATGTTTGCTGAATTATTGGATGAATTAGTCTGAAATGATTTCATCCCCTTTACACTCCAGACAATCAGCAGGAGTCTACCAGATAGCACTTTCTTGTCAGTGGAACAGTGCCTAGGACAAGAGGATGGCAGTCTCAGGAGACAAGTCACAGAATGAAGCTAATAGCAGGAGTTCAAAAGGAAAACAATGCAAGTGGTAGGTAGCAGGAAACATATATGGGCCCCTCTCCCAACTCCTGAGATTCGGAAGCACTGTGGGGCAGAAGAGCAATGGGCTTTCCACTGCATGTACAATAGGGACCTGTGCCATTATATTAAAATATTGAAGGAAAATACAATCCTAGAATGCTGGGAAATTGGGGGACAACTGGGAGCTGATACTTGGGTTAACTATATTCATTTAATAAAATTTTGGGTACTTCTAACATTCAAAGAATTGTGCTAAATGCTACAAAAAAAAATACATAAGGGGTGCCTGGGTGGCTCAGTTGGTTAAGCGGCTGCCTTCAGCTCAGGTCATGATCACAGGGTCGTGGGATCAAGCCCTGCATCAGGTTCCCTGCTCAGTGTGAAGTCTGCTTCTCCCTCTTCTCCTCCTCCTGCCTGTGCATTCTTTCTCTCTCTATCTCAAAAAAATAAATAAATAAAAATAAAAAAAAAACAAATCCTAAAGAAAAGAGATAAATAAGACAGAACTTTTAAATTACTTATAGGTTAAAAGTATTCACACGATTTGCCTCAATTCTTTCCTGAATTAATAAAAGTCTAAAGAAATGCATCACAATATAAATAATATTAGAAAACCTTTAAAAGGGAAGATTAAATGGATATGCTTGTGCATCTGACTTTTGTTATCTCTGTTGAATGTACTAAAAAAGAAAAATGCATAGTTCTTTGAAGGCAACATGAAACATTCAATGATATAAACTGAAAAATATAGTAAAATCATTAAGCAGGTGGGTTCTGCAGTCCGATCTCAAAGCAAATTTTCATTCTGCCACTTAGTACTATTTAATCCCTCTGTTCCTCAATGTCTCCATTTTTAATATAAAAAATAATAGTACTTGCCTTGTTTTGGTGAGGTTTAGAAAGGAAAATGCATAAAGCTTGTTTGGTGGAAAAAATACTAAATAAGTTTCATCTGTATCATTCTTATCATCAGCATTATTAAAAAAATGTAAAGGAGGAAGCCATGGCTTTTGGCTGGTACTTAATAAGGAGGAAAAATGAGAGCAAATTAAAAAAAGGAATAGAATACAAAACAAGTCATTAATGAGATGTACAATTTTGATGTTTGGAGTTAAATGGGAACTGGAAAGAAACCTGTCAGAAAGCTGTTATCTTAGGTTTGCCATAACAAATTACCACAAATGATAGGCTTTAAAAAATCCATTCTCTCACAGTCCTTGAATCCAAAAGACCTAAATCAAGGTATTGGCAGGGTTGGTTCCTCTGGAGGATCTGGAGAAAATATATTCCATGCCTCCCTTAGCCTCTGATGGCTGTCAGAAATCCTTAGTATTCCTTGGATTATGCACACAACACACTCATATTTCTCTGTCTTCACATGGCCTTCTCCTTCTGTGTCTCTGTATGTCTTTTCTGTCTTTCTCTTGTAAGAACACAAGGAGACACTCATTGGATTTAAGGCCCACATGAGAAAGAGAGCCTTAACTGCTTCTTCCTGACCCTAGGCCCCTGGCCATCCCTTTAAAATGCAATCAATCAAGACAGATAGTGCCCCTATCTTCTAGTCTTTGTGGTAGAGAGGGAGCCTAAGTTAGAAAGTGACAGAGAGCAAGCATAGATGACCTCATCGCATTGACTACCCTCTCCTCTTAACATCCTCTGGTACTTTTCCACTACCTCAGCTCAACACTTGAAAATCCTCCTGTCTTTTGTTTCATGGGAGTTGAATTCAATCTCCCTCCTCTATTCCAAGACTTGAATAAAATCTTCTTTAATTGCTGGTGTAATTTTTCTTTCACATGTGATTTCAGGATGACATTTTTATTATTTTTATTTAAATTCTAGTTAGTTAACATGGTTTCAGGAATAGAATTTAGTGATACATCACTAACATACAACACCCATTGCTTACCATAAGAAGTGCCCTCCTTAAAACCCATCATCCATTTAGACCAACCCCACCTCCCCTCCATCAACCCTGAAACAGTCACTTATGATTTGTTTCCCTCTTTTTCCCCCTACATTCTTCTGTTTTGTTTCTTAAATTCCACATATGAGTGAAATCATATGATACTTGTCTTTCTCTGATTGTCTTATTTCACTTAGCTTAATACATTCCAGCTCCATACATGTCCTTCCAAATAGTAAGAGTTCATTGTTTTTGATGGCTGAGTAATATTTCATTTTATATATATGCAAACACACACAGAGAGACAAAACACATCTTCTTTATACATTCGTCAGTTGATGGACACTGGGCTCTTTATATAATGTGGCTATTGTTGACAATGCTGCTATAAACATTGGGGGTGCATGTGCCCCTTCAAATCAGTATTTTTGTATTCCTTGTGTAAATACCTAGTAGTAAAATTGCTAGGTTGTAGGGTAGTTTTATTTTTAACTTTTTGAGGAACCTCCATACTATTTTCCAGAGTGCCTGCACCAGTTTACAGTTCCAGCAACAGTATAAGAGGGTTCCCATTTCTCCACATCCTCCCCAAGATGTGTTGTTTCCTGTGTTGTTAATTTTAGCTGTTCTGACAGGTGTGAGGTAGTAACTCATTGTGGTTTTGATTTGTATTTCCCTGATGGCTAGGGATGTTGAGCACTTTTTTATGTGTCTGTTGGCCATTTGTATGTCTTCTTTCAAGAAATGTCTGTTCATGTCTTCTGCCTATTTATTGACTGGATTGTTTTTTGGGTGTTGAGTTTGATAAGTTCTTTATAGATTCTGGATACTAACCCTTTATCAAATATGTCATTTGCAAATATCTTCTCCCATTCTGCAGGTTGCCTTTTAGGTTTTTTTTTTTTTTAAGATTTTATTTATTTATTTGACAGACAGATCACAAGTAGGCAGAGAGGCAGGCAGAGAGAGAGGGAGAAGCAAGCTCCCTGCTGAGCAGAGAGCCCAATGCGGGGCTCGATCCCAGGACCCTGAGATCATGACCTGAGCCGAAGGCAGAGGCTTATTAACCCACTAAGCCACCCAGGTGCCCCTGCCTTTTAGTTTTGTTGATTATTTCCTTTGCTGTGCAGGAGCTTTTTATCTTGAAGTTCCAATAATTCATTTTTGCTTTTGTTTCCCTGGCCTTTAGAGATGTGTCTTAGCAAGAAGTTGGTATGGCCAATGTCACAGAGGTTGTTGCCTGTCATCCCCTCTAGGACTTTGATAGTTTCCTGCCT